CCTCCGTCTCCGGAGGGGACAAGAGACCACCGCGCGCGGCCGCCCAGAGTCTGACCGACAGTGCTCACTCCAAGGCCAACAAAGCCAAGGACACGTGTCGTGATCATGTTACGGAGCGCGGCTCTAGTCAGAGCCGCAGCCCTCGCGCGGCGCCAAGCCGCGGGCCGGCCCAGTACGGGCGGCCTCGCGGGGCGCCGCGCATCGCGCCTCCACTCAAGGATTCGCACGACCGCTCGGTGGCTGGAAGCGCATCACAACCGACACGCCGCAGCTCCACAGCAGGGCGGGAGCCGCTCCGAAAGGGGAGGGCTGCACCGCTGAGCCTGCCAGGGCCTTGTTACGCGGGGCCAGTCGAGGCGCCACCGCCACCGACAGTGCAGCCAGCCGACCCGCGCCCAGAGGAAACCTCCGAGCTGCGAGCCAGCCGCGCTGCGGGGTGAGGCGCACGAGGCGTCTGCCCATCGGGAAACCATCTGCTTCTCACACACAGCCGCTGCCCAGGCGGCCCCATCCATTCCGGAGGGGCACAGCGAGGGAGCTTTTGCGTCGGGGGAGGGTGAGTCCCCGCGGCGGCACGTGCTGACCAGGCGTCTACGTAACCGAGACTGGGGCCGGATCGCGCAGTGGCGACCCAACCCCGCCCAGCACCGCCTCACACGCACCAGCCGCTCAGTCAACCTACCGGGCCGCGGCTCAAACCGTAAGCACAAGTCTGCTCCGGCGAACCGCGCCGAGGGAGCACCGCGCCGGCTGCCTCGCGGCCGCCGTTCTGCGCGTCTCCTCACCTATCCACCTGCTTGGGTGGCCGAGAGGGCGGTACCGACCGCGCGGGCAGCACCGCCAGACAAGCCCCAGTGTGTCCGCGCCGGTGCGCGTACTCGCGTTTGTATTCGCCGCAGAAATGCGTATTCCTCTAAGTGGTACGCCGGAGGGCGCCGCTTTGATTGGGTGAGACCATTACCGAGCCGAGGCGCGGACACACTGGGGAAACTGCGGCCCCAGTCATACCGATTCGCCCCGAAGCCGAATGGAATGGGACTGGGGATGCAAATGCGAATCGAATGCGACGTTTTGACTAGGAAACGCGCACACCGACTGCAAACAAAGCCAAACACACCCGAAACGAAGCGACTTGGGCCCCGTGGAGCCGGGAGACGGGCTCCGGGACCGGGGCGGACGGCACACCGACCTCGCCGCACCACACCCCGCCGCCCCGCCTCGGTGCACGGGACCGGGACGCCCCCGCCGCGGCCCCTCCCACCGCTGGGCGGGCCCCACCGCGCCCCTCCGCCCTCCTCGCCCCACGGGCGGCCCCCCGGCTCCGGAGACCGGCGCCCGGCCCTCTGCCCCGACCGGCGACCGCGCCGCGCGGCGGCTCTCTCGAGGCGCCGCCATGCGCCTCGGCTCATGGCGGCGGGGGGTGGACGCAAGCGCGGGGCGTCCGTCGGCCCTAGCGGTGGTGATGGGGGGGGGGGGG